ATATATCATATTAAGATAATAATTTGATAATTTGAACCCCCCATTTGTCTTAATTGTCATTTGATTGATCACTGTTACTATATCTTCAATTAGCTTGCTGATGTTGGAGTAAATTAGCTTATTTCCAGAAGTTTAGATTGGCTTATCATGTTTAGGAAATTCGAAAGCAAGCTAGTAGAATTGGCTTATTCTGTCAAAATGTAATATGAAGCATGAAGTGAAAGGTATAAGAAGCCTTGGGAAAAAAAAAAAAAAAAAAAAAAAGCCAATGACTATGAGTATCCTTGCAATGTTCTGGTGTTTTTTGTTTTTTTTTTTTTTTTTTTTTGTTTGTTTGTTTTTGTTTTTTGTGTTTTTCATTTCCTAAGGGTGTATTGGCATATATTCTCTGGAAGGAACGCTTTTGCTTAATAGTCTCTCAGTCTTCTCTTGAAGGAAGCACGTAAAAGCTTTCAAACCCATGCTGTTTTATTTTATTGTTATTTTGATGGGTTTGGTGTTTAGATACTTACATCAATATACATTGCACAGTGTAGTAATCCTTGCAATCTCTGTTAAAATTTGAGAATTCCAGGCAAAAACTTTGAGTCCTTTCAATGCATCACATTTAAGATCCTGATCTATGGAAGAACAAAACCATCACTTTCTGCTTGATTTTAGGCACGCGTAGAAAGCTTAGGAATAGATTTTACAAAATCACCTTGAAATAAGTTTGTTTTTTTTTAGTTTGTTTGTTTGTTAAAATGTAAGGTTTCACTTGCATAATGGTGCAAAGCTGACCTATTGATTCATCTCTTTCTTGACCCAAAAAGGATCTGGTTTTGACCTAAACAACAATTTGTCTGATATGGTCCTCGGTTCCTCTGCTCAGATTGTTCGCAGATATTTTTTTCATTTCTGTAATGACAATAATACACATTTGTTAGTATGTAAGTATGCATTTCAGCTCTGTCTCTTTCAGTAATAACCTGAATTAGGCATGTGTGTTTATTCTGGTGGTAAAATATTGAATCAAGTTAGTTAATAAAACAGTTCCAAATCTGTCTGCTTGACGACTGTTTTGTAATTATTGGAAAGAGTATTGCTGGAACATGCTTACTTACTGTTTTTAATTGTTACCCTTAAACTTGATTCAGTAAATAGTGAAGGATTCTTCTACCTTACATAGCTATACAGTTCTAAGTATATTAAAATGTAATATTGCTGATTAGCCAGTGCAAAACCGTACTCCCCACCTTGCATATACAACAGCAGCTACACCTGCAGAAGTCTTACCCTATAATGGCGTCTGTAGGGTGTGAGAAGACGTAATGATGAACTAAAGTAGATGACACCCTCCCTCATCCAGAAACCCTTGATTTCTTTGATAATGATCTGTCTGGTGCCAGCAAGACAGGCAGATACTGGATGTAGACGCACCTGAGGGCCATAATGATAAGTAGTAGCTGGAAGCAAGTGGATTGTACTTATTGAACAACACAAGGTGGTGCATATATTTATGCATGTTAATTTATGTGCTGCATAAGCTATAGTAAGCCTGATGGCGGATGGCTCTGCTTGGGGTTGTGTACATGCCTTGGTTTGGCCCTTGTCCCCAGCCCCAGCTCTGGCATTGCGTCGGGGCCCCAGTGCAGAATGGCTGTGCCTTTGAGTAAATGCCAGTGCTCCTGCTAATGCTGGTCTTGGTCCTGGGTGAGCTTGACCTGCAGTGACAGCATCCCAAAGATATTTTATGTTAGATATAATGGTTAGGATTCATGAAGCACGGGGCAGTATCCTAAATAATCTTTTCTACTTACTGTTTTGTAGCCACCCATCAGGAAATTCAGTATTTCTGTTCTTGTTTAATTCTAGGTTGCAGCATCTCTTTTGCATTATTGTCATAAAGATAACTTGAATGTTATCCTCCATGGAACACTCACGAAAGATCTTTATATGAACACATTGAGCAATCTGCTGCATCTTAACTCTTTCTGTATACATGAATTTCCAGTTAATTTGAGTTCACTGTTCCTATTGATTTATGATGCAATTCTTTATTTCTTGTATATTGAATCACATATTTTGCTCGCGCAAGGCAAATTTAGGAAAGGTCTGAGTGATCTGCAAGTATTATTTTTAAGGCATGGAGAATGAATTTCTGTGGGTGTCCTACATTATGCTATTAAAGTAGTGTAGAAATTCAATTTAAAGTGGCATTTTTATGCATAAAAATCAAGTACTCTCTTCTATTACTTTGTAGAATGAATGATGATAAGTTGATTATCTAACATCTCATAGGCAGCGTGCGTAAAAGTGAATGAACTAATAGATGTCTTTTTAGAACTCAACCACTGTAGTTTTTCTCAAAAAAGTTGTAGCATTGAAGGGAGTTTATAATTCTAATTTTTTTTCTGTTTTACTTTTTATTTTATAGTATCAGCATAGGTCATGTTCCTGCTAATGTTACTGTGTACATAAGTTTTTGTAAAAGCAATCTGTTACAGCTGTTTGAAACCACTAGCCTCAAAATTTATGCACTTATATGTCCCATACACTTTTGCTGCTGTATGAATCACTCCAAAAAATTGAATGCCCCATTTTAATCATGTGACATCTCTAGACTTTAGAATGGTAAGACATTGAGTTACACACCATGGTAAGTCATGTGCAGACTTGTTCTACCTTTATATTAGAAATCACTGGGCTAGTTCACAGTCTGGAGGTCTAGAAACTGAGCAAAGAGTAAATAAGGAAGGAATCAAAGCCACATGAGGGTGACAAATAATTAAGTAGAGGAAAACTTAAAGGATTTTTATTATAATTGAGGTAGAGCAAATTCTGTAGACAACACCATTCATCCAAGTAAAAGGTCTCTTTTCCTTTATTTAGAGTCTTTTTTAACTAGCTTTGAAAAAGTATGGTCGATGTTAATTCAAATATAAAATATGTTTATAAATACAGTTGAACATTTAATTATTTTGCTTTCAGCACATAGCTTGAAAAACATCTGGTAATATATTCTTGTGAGTTATATATTTCAGGCTATTGTCTGACTGTCTACAGTAGTAAATAACATAGCAAATGTGGAACTAGCTGGTGGAGAGTAATGATAAACAAGTACTTTCTGTGTGACCTGGTTCTGAGACACTTTTTTGAAGGAAAAGGAATACTTTCACTAAACAATGTTGATGTGTCAAATAGCAAATCATTTTCTTTTTTCAGTCCTCATTTTGGAGTGGTATGTAAAGGAAAAGAATAGATGGTCAATTTTAAGGAATGTGGCATAAAATTGGGTGGGTGAGTAGGTAGGAGGTTTAAGTGGATAAGGGATAGCAGGAAAGGATCTGCTAAATACTAATCAGAATACTAGAGCGTTACTAAAGAATTGCTGGATGACTACAGTGAAGCCAAGGGTGAATAAGTAGAGTAACTCTACCATTGCTATGAAAAGCCTTCTGAAACTGTATGGGTGCAGTGTTCCATTTCATTCTATTAGTTCCAAAACTGCCAGTCTGGGAACCAAGAGCCCTAGAGACTTGTTAATGTGATGCCCTGTTTGGATTTCTGTCTCTGTTTTGAATGTTTTTTGTTCGAATGCCATGAGTAGGTAGCGTATTTTATTAACTGTATATATTTTGTATTTATGAACTGTGTATTTGCATATAATGTCCTTTCAGTTAGGAAGTTTAGAGGCTGGATGGTTTTAGATCCAGTCGCCCCATTACTGTACCTATTTTGTTGGACATAATGTCCAAAATAACCTGAAGCCCAGACCTACACTACTTGTAGGTAGAGTATATTAGGGTACTGTGAGTTGGAGAGGAAAGGGAGCAATAAATGTCTATTTGTGAATATAAATAAGAAAATTACCCTTAACATTTATCATGTCTATCTATAATGTTAGGCGAAATTAAATCATGATGGATTTCAGTGAATTTCCTAATGATAAATGAATCTTAGGAAGGGTGAAACGAAGGATGTATTGAAGATCTTATGTAAAAGCTTAAAGGAACTCAAGTATTTGTTTTTTTAAGAGAGCAAGGAGTGCAATAGGAATTATGACTGGTTTTGAGGACGTAATAAGTTTATTGGGTTTGTGTGTCCAGGTTTTGGTAGTGGAGAGGGGTCACTGTGGAGAGGCTCTGTGAGGAGAGACTGGACCTGCCCCATGCCAGAAACAGCCACTTCCAGCCTTTGTCTTAGCACATGAGCTTTTCATCTTTTTTTTTTTTTCTGCCTATCCTGTTGAGGAGGGAGAGTGAAAGAGTGGCTTGGAAGGTGTCTGGCAGCCAGCCCAGGTTAACCCAACACAGTAGGAAATCAAGACTCATTTCCAAAACCTCATTTGGAAAAGGAGGATATATTCTAGATTAATTGTAGGAAGGATTGTGGAAGGTTTTCATCCAGGAGTGCTCTACTGTTTATAGCTTTTAGCATGGTACTTTAGTGTAACCTGTCATCAAAGAGACTTTAGATTTGCTGTCTTGATCCACAAATTCAACTATTTTCCATGAATTTTGATATCTTTTGTGTAGCTAAGCAATGCAGACTGCTTTGGATATTTCAGTATATTTCAAAATATTTGAGGAATTGTAGCTTAAATGTTGGTAAATTAATTTTAGTTACTCGTAGTTGAACTGCATAATGACAGAAACTTGCTTTCATCTACACTTACTCCTCTTAAAAGTAAGCTATTGGTTTTAGCTAGACTCAGTCTTAAAAGCAAATCCAAACAAACAAACATACATGTTGCTGCTGAACTATCTGGAATTTTTTAATCACCATAAACGTAAAGTGATTTCAGATTTCATTCTTCTGATTATCTAATAATGTGTATAATAGTATGGTAATTTTTTTTTTTCTTTAAAATTTCTGACAATGCTTAAAATGTAGCAGTTCCTTTTTATTTTTTTCACTTATGTGAGACGTAAATGCATATCTGTGCAAACAAGGTTAATTTTTGTTATTTTTTCTAGTCCTCAGTGTGTAGACTTCCATGTTCTTTTTATCTAATGCAGGAGGCTTTAAAAGAAAACAACAAAAGAAGAGAGATGGAAGAAAAAATGAAAAGAGCCAAACTGGCAAAAGAAAAGGCTGAACGTGAGAAACTGGAGAGACAGAAGAAGAAACAGCAGTTGATTGATATGAACAAAGGTAAGGCATCATTTTTACTAGAGAAATAACAGGGGTGGTGGTGGGGAATAACGAGCTGAAGATTGTTTCAGGTCAGTATGAAAAATACTTGCTATCTGTTTTGCAAGCAGAAAAAAAAGGTAAATTTTTTCAGTGAGAACTCTTTTGCTTTGGCCTTTCTGATTTTATAATTCTGTATTTGTCATTAGCTATGTACAATGTTCCTTTCAAGCCATTTTGCTGTGAATTATTGCCTTGTTTCCCTTTGTTGCAGTTAATTGATTTCTTCATAAGGATTTACTTCCAAGAAGTAGTATCTTACTTGCTTTGTTGTTAATTTCATTCTGTGAACATCTTTATAATCAAGATACTGTGGCAATTTATGTCTTCCTTCTTGGGCTTGGAGGCTCCATGTTATAATGTATGTTCTCCCAACAATCCTATTATGATCTGGAAAATCTGGTTGAGCTCAGGGCCTAAGTGTAGAATTATATTTCAGCATTATAAATAGCAGTGTTAAGCTTGTCAGCTGTGAGAAGATTGTATGGAAAACACTGGAGAAACGCTAGGCCAGGCAAAAAAAGCCCACTGCAACATCTTTGAGGATGGCTGTGAAAGTGAAAGCAATCTAAGTCATGGAAGGACAAGGTTCTGGACAGCATTTTAATCACTGATAATGCAGTCATGCAGAAACACTGCTTATGCAGTTGTATGGTGTCAAATGTACTTAGAATGCCGGTATTTCTTGCAAATAAGTAAATTTCCTGTGACCAGTGGAAATCTGTGACGTGTGTGTTGACAGCTAGCACTTAAGGAGTGTCAGGTCACCATCCTCTCCTTCTGGTTTGGCTACCATGATCCTCTACAGTCTCTGTTTTTGGTAGGCTTAATCTTTAGTCTGTGGTTTAAATGAACTTGTGTTTAAGGTGATGTGTACCTCTGGTACAGCCGTAGTAAAAACATGGATCTTGTAGATGCAGTACTGAGAATGCTTTGTTCTTCAAGTTCCTTACTCCATCCCTGTGCTCTTCAGAGAGCAATTACAACCCTAAGATTTGCCATCACCAGCATATTTTCACTTTAAGAATCACAGGGGCATTCCTATCACTCCAGTTCCCTCAGCAGCTCCTCATAGGACTTGTGTTCCAGAAACCTCCTTTGGGACCTGTATGTATTTTTTAATACCAATCAGATACTTGCATTGAACCATTAATTCATTTATGTTTGTTTTTAACTGAAATTCTTACAACAGGTATACAGTTACAGTAATAACAGTGTATCTTAAATATATACCATCTACTTACACATTACTTTGTCAGATTGAGTCATGTTTGCAATGATTTCAGGAAGTTATACTATTTTATCTTTATTGACATATGTATACCAAGTGTCACAGTTCTGTGCTTTTTTGTGGTTAGAAATTTCATATTTTTATTTTGGTGAAAGTGAGGAACCATATCAGTCTTCAAAACTAAAAATGGATGCAGAGGATAAATTTTATTTACTAGTGATATTTTTTTACTGAGTTTACTTTATATGTTTTACAAATGATAGATTCTCTATTGTATTACCAGACTGTGTTAAGAAGAACTGGGGGGAAAGTAAAAGCTTTATTTGCATTCTGAATTTTTGAATAGATTTGATACCAGTGCACTTCGAATGCACTGCATGTTAGAACTCTATTGCCATGGTAGGAGGGGTGGAGTGGAGTGATAGCTCTATCCCCACTAGAATCCAGGACACTGATATCCAGGTTTTTTAACTAATTATATTTTTTTTCGTGATATGCCTACTTCTGTATGCTCATTGCTGCTTATATAAATAGTTCACAAATTTGTCTAAGCAAATGTGAAGCAGAAGACTTAGAGGAAGGACACATATGTCCTCTCAAGCTGTGATTTTGACAAGGTAATTTCAGCTGAAGGGTGTTTTAACGTAACTATGCAATAGTTATTTCTTCAGCTGTATCTTCAATTAAAAAGAAAACAAAAACAAACAAAAAATATCGCTACAGCCTCTCAGGTCAGAGCAATAGTAATAGGATTCCTATATTTTCAAGCCCTGTAAGGGTGCAGTTCTATAACCAAGTAAGAGCAAGAAAACTTTCACACAGATGCGTAAGTCACTGGAACATCCAGGTCAGAATTAGTTGATTTTCTGGTTCTTGGTGCAAGAGAGCAGAAGACTGCAGTGTGGCCAGAATCAACAACTGTCCAAGAACTTCCTAGCTATAAAAATAATTTCAAAATTGCCAATATTATAAAGACCAGGTTACTCAATTCACTAGTATTTTGAACTTTGTAGAGTGTCTAGTTTAATTGAGATGCCATATCAGCCAGTTGACGCAGTACTTACATAAATCCTACTAAGCTAAGCATTCAAAGATGTGGAATGAGAAATGTAATATAGAAGGTCTCTCAACTCAATATAAGCTTCGAAGTGATTTACAATGGACAACATAAAAAGTCAAGTGATTCTAAGCCTCAAAAGACATACACATTTCCAAATATAGGTGTTTCATACAAAATCGAGATGGACAGATAGTTGACAAAATTAACATATACCTTCCAAAAGAAATTAAAATAATTAAATTAAAATAAAATAAAATAAAATATTAAATTTAACATTAAATTTTTGAATTTAATATTTAATATTACTATTTAATTTTATTAGATTAAATATTAAATTAAATATATGAATTAAAAACAAACAAAAAACCAAAACGTTAGGAACTTACTCAACATATACTCCTCTTTTTGCTTCAAAAAACATATACATTATACCTATTTATGCCTATGTTATATTTACGCCTATTATTTTTCATAAATAGGCACTGTAATAGGTATAGAAAGGTTAATGGGTTCTCAGTTAATCAAAAATAATACATTAAACAACAATAAGATCTTTTCAGCCTATAATTTATTTTGAAGTAATTTCCATCAAGTTTCTTCTTTAGTGTTGAAGTCAGTGGATTTTGTATTACTTGACGTTCAAATGTCCATGCAATTGGGCTGTTTTTAACTGAAAAGATGGTGTAGTGGCTCGAGTCAAAGATAGCTTTTGTGATTTTTTTCTATAACAGCAGCATGATGGACAAGATCTTAAGTAGTGCTCAGCTGATGACACAAATCAAAATTTCAGAGAAATATTTTCAGAATATTTCATTCTTCCCTATATGTGACACGCTCAAGCATTTTTGAGGAAGACATTGACATGCAACTAAAAGTAGATGCTTAAGTGCGGATGAAAAAAATTGTGATTTGAAGAATCTATTATCAAAATTTTTAGTTGCCTAGTTGAAAATTAATCTTTTCTCTACAGCTTGCCAGCTCTATGAAAAGAAAACATTCTTTATTTTACAGCAGTGGTCTACATTTTTGTGAGAGCTGTAGTAGGCTGGGCTATATGTTTGTATAGTGTTTTCATGACTTCCACGTGACTTCACATCTGCAAAATTCCTGCAATGTTGCTTCTAAGTGAACAAGAGAGGAAAAAACTGAAGTCAGCTTTCAATGAGCTGAAAAACGTGTAACAGCAATTCTGATGCAAATGTTATTTAATCAGAAGCAGTTTTGCTCTTCACTATGTCTGATTACCATGGTGATTAAAATCACCTTTTATCTGAAGATATTGGGATAAAAGATAGAATGAACTTGCTTAGTCCCAACTCGTATTGAATAAATTATTTTGAAGACACATTAACATTGTTCCCTAATGCAGATGAAGATAACAGAAATTAAGTTCTATGCTAGTGGTTGATGGATATTTCTGCTTTCCCTTTTTAAGTACTGTTTTATAAGAATTCATCTGCCATTTATTCACATTGTTATGTACTAGTATCAGCAATAATTCAGTTGTTTCCTTGAAAAGTTTACACTTGCATTGGCAATTGCAGGGTGCAATTCAAGAAGGTCATGCTTGTTTTTTTACTGACTGTATGCTTTCTTAATTGCTGTGTTCTTTCTATGCCCTTTAGCATAAACAGAAATACATACTAAGTTTATTATGAGATGCATATTACGTTGACAGTATCTTAGCCTTAATCCTTTGAGTTTGTTTCGGCTAGTGATTGCAAGAGGTACCTGGTATGGTAAAACATGAGGCATATTTACATTCTGTTAATTATTCGTTTATGGTGCTGGATGCCAATTAGATCAGTGTTAGAATTAATTTGTGAAGTCTTTATGTTTCATATTCATGTCAATGGTCCATTTGAATATGCTGCATTCTTCCTGAAATGTAATCTTCACAGAAGAAAGGAAAAAAATAAATAGAGATTTACATTATGGTCAAAAATACCAGTAAAAGTACAACAAGGCTTGGTATTTTCTTCTCCAATTACATGAGTTGCTCAAAAATTATAAGCCGTGTTTATGCAGTATTTTGAAGCCACGTGGAAAATGGGGGGAGAATTAAAACTACTGTAAATGTTGTTGTTAATATAGATCAAAACCATCTCAAGAGATGCAAATAGATGTAAGCATGGTAGACAAAAAGAAATTAGAAATGAAAATATTATCTCAAAAAAAAAAGTAATGGAAAATTTCTGTTTATGAATATGGTAGGCAAAATGAAAAGATTCCATGGGGGTAAATTGTCATGGGAAAAAAACAAAATCATTAGACTGAAATCTAGTCGGGATAATTATAGGTGAAGAAAGGCAATGCTATTAGATTCTTTCACTTAAGGGTTCTTTGGAAATATTTACTGGACAGTAGCTAGTGTTAACTTTTAATACATGCAAATTCACCTTTCTTTTTCCTTGGTAGAAAAAGTATTCTTATTTTCAAAAGCACGTATTGTTACTTTCGAAAATACTTTATAGTCTTTATCCAATATAATTGCTATTTAAATTTATATTCATCTATTTTGTAGAACTGCCAATGTTAAAAACCATTTCTGTAATAATTAGTTGATCAAATAGCTTTTTCTATAGTGCAGAAATCAGGATAACAGAATTGCTCATTGAACTGTTGTGAAATGTAACTGTGTCCCCATTTAAACTGGGGACAAGGTTGGTGTCTAAATTTTGTCTCAGTGGAATGATTGTTTTCTCTGTGGTTATAGTATCTCATTTGTAATAGGATTGTTAAGATGCTGTCTTAACAACAGTAATTTCCCTAATTATGTGGGAAAGAATACCATGTTAATGAGCCTCTTTTTACTGTATGATTAGTGTTAAAACATTCTTCCCAAAATTGTTTAATAGTTGTATAGATAAAGTTAACTTCATGAATTAAGTAATGCTCATTTGCCAAAATATATAAATGTATATATACTTATAAGGTTAAATTCTGTAAGACATCAAATGATGCTTATTTTAGTGATAAAAGTGGATTTCTTTTTCTCAGGTATAGATGCCAAATTAAAGTAATTTGAACGTTATGACATTAATTTCATGGCTGTTTGTTAGTTGTACAGTCAAACTTTGAACTTGAAATTTCTGATCACTGGTGACTTCTGTAATCCACTGGGAGAAGTTTAAGAAATAATTATAAAGTAACAATATTGCATTTAATTTTTTTAATGTGCAGCGGAAACAAAGACTGCTTCTGGGTTAGTATGCAGAGTATACATTTTTGTTGGAAGCAGAAAGTTGCATAATGTTTGCGAGTTTTTTAGTTTTTATATGTATTTTTGTGTTTTTTTTTTTTTTTAGATAAAATATTTGAGTTGTTAACTATCAGCAATTTTTAAGTGATTTTCTAATGCTAAAAGTGCTGTGTCAGCTAATTATGTCACTTACAAGTTGCTTAATACTGTAACAGAATTGTAACCTTTGAAACAATAGTGGAACTTCATTATGGATATCTTCAATTGTTATGGTATTTTTCTCTCTCTTTTTTTGGAGCCACACAATCATTTCCTTCCCACACAGAGGCAGTGTCTGTGCACACGTGTGTGCGTAAATAATCCTTGCAAGGGGCAAATGATCCCCAGGGGTAATATTTATACATTTCACTTAAATACATTCCTGTTGAAGTAGACCTTGACCACTGTGACATTTTCTGAAAATAAGTGTGCACTTTTCAGAAATTGTTTTTAGTGGTCTGCCAGTGTAACAAAGCACATTTTTCTCATTCTATTAACTTGATATAAGCCTGAGATCAGGTTATCATAAACAATATGCTTAATTTGGTATGTAAGCAAGGATTTCCCTTCTTTTGTAAACTGACGTGAGGTGTAGGTTCATTTATCAGTCATACCGTCCAAACTTGCTCTCCATTTAATTAAAAAGTAAATAACAGTCACGAGATTGTATTATAGTGCAAAATGCTAAGGAAGACTGCTTCCTGAAGATATTTATTATGCTTGCAAAATGAATTTAGCAGATGAATAACATACAAATGTATGAAAACATAAATACATACTTGCCAAAAGACACTGAAAATTGACCTTGTTAAGTGAATATATTGCATTTTAGAATCCTAATACTAGTTACAAATACACAGTCTTTTTTTTTTTTTTTTTTTTTTCAAAGTTTATAAGGGACATGGGTTTGACTCATGAAAGAGCAGTGAACCATTTTGGTAGTTCCACTGTTGAAATGTAACTCATCAGAAGTGCTAACAAATATAGTGCAAGATGTGATTAGGAGTATGAATTTGAAACCATCTGGAGAAGCAGACAGGTAGATATGTGTTACCTAAAGTGGCATTTGATAAGGCTCTTTCACTAAGGGCCTAGATTTGAGAAAAATTTCCTGCAAAGTTCCAGAAAGCTTCTGTCCAAATGGCCATGCAATTACTTACGTTTGTGTTAATTTAAGTTAGTTTACAATTAGTACATTTGAAACCCAAAGAGTACAACCTGTTTTGCAAATACATTTCCCTTACTGGAAAAGGGAGGTGCACCAGTAAAATACAAGGGCATTCTCTTCATGATCTTCTCCTAGTCAGCATGAACAAATCAAAGGGAAGACAGCAGAACACTCTAGAAATGAGAACATGTTCCCAGGGGCTCTTGGGAGCCAATTCAGATTCACAGCTACTGCTCAGAAGAAACCAAACAGGCAGGAGATGGACCATGTTTTGCATGGATGGTCTGACGTGTTCTGATTTCAAGCAGTTTCTGTAATCTGTTCTCCAGAGCGACTAAAGTGACTGAAAAGACCTAAGCTATTCTGCTGTGTTGTTTATACCATCACCAGTCAAAAGTGCTATCCCAGTTATTATATTTCTTTTTAAAATTGTAGTATCTAACCCGCTTTGGGTTGGAAGGTGACTTAACATCTAGTTTCAACCCCTTGCTGTGGGTAGGGACACCTTCCACTAGATCAGGTTGCCCAAAGCTCCATCCACCCAGGCCTCAAACACTTCTAAGGATGGGCATCCACATCATACTTTCATGGACAATTTTGATTAAGAATAAGTTAATTTAGAAACTTTTTTTTTTTTTTTTGACTTAGCTGATTTGTGTCTGCAAACTGTTGCAGGCTGTATTAAAATAAATCAAGGAGGTAGCTTGTAATATGTGAAGTACCTCAGCAAAAACTGTGGGTGAGGTCTGAAACTTCTACTGAATATTTTATTTATGAATTTTAATGAAGGCTGACTAAAAATGCAATTCTTTGTCCAGTTTCCATTTAGTCAACTGACAACTTTCATTAAGATGCAGTGATGAGAGCATACCCAGCATAAATTTCACTTTGAGAAGTTAAAAATCTCATCACTGTGTTCTACAGCTTCTGTAATTCATGTCTCTTTGTATTGTATATTTTGATACCCCAAAATAGGGTGTTCTTTAGCAGTCGCAGTAATTAGCAGGTAGAATAGCACACTCAGCAGAAAATGTGGAATGCTGTGTAAACATCTATGGAGTATTGAAGGTTTTTTGCATACATTCTGCCAATTTTTTTTTTGAAGGTCAAATGATTGTAATTTTTCTACGCATAAAATATTCTAACATGCTAACTAACTCTATGTGTTTTGCAATCATATTATTCATTAGATGTTTCAGATCAACATGGAGTATAATAGTTTGGTTAAAATGTATTTACAGATCTTTGATTTAGAAAATAAATTTCATGCAGAACCAACAATAAACCATTGAATAAGCATGTGTATGGTAAGGTAGACAAAGAAAATTAACAAGATTTTCTGTACAGGAAGACTTGTATTTCAGTCTTCAGGTTGCTACTCTTGTTCTGCTCCCTTCCATCTGGTGTTGAAGATAAGTTTATATATGTGACATATTATACTTAATAGTTGAAATTACATTGATATATAATTTAAATTTACCAAGTAATTATACTGATAATCATTATGTAGAAATTAGAACCAGGTATTGATTTAGGATTTGCATGCTCTTATATCAGGTCTGGACTTAATCTAATGCATCTAAATGTAACTGAGAACCGGGTCAGAATACCTTTTGCCTTAATAAGCTGCTTTTAAACTTTAGCATTTGAGAGCCTTGAATGTACGTTTAAACTCCTACATTTTGTGCAAGTCAGAAGTATCTTCCAGTAATGTAAATCTTTTGCATAAAGTAATTATCTTCCCACTCTTTGGTGGAGTAATTTGTATTAGCCTGAAGACTGAGAGAGATAAATAAAATGTTCACCTCCTACCTGCTGAGCCTAGTCTATATTTTAGCTTTAGATTATAACACAGATGTGAGCAGGAAAATAAGTATTCATCAACAGTTTCGTAATATTGCAGCTTTGACCTCTTTTTCTTGTGGTGTGCTGTGATCAACTTTTATTAACAGTCTGAAATGCAAAGGAAGTTCACAACTTAAATATGTAAAAAATAAACCTTCTACTTGTTTTATCATACTGCACTGTAAAATCCAGCAATTTAAAAGCAGCAAGTTTGCTTCAGTCAGGAGTGAGAAGGGGGGAACCAAATAGAAAACCAAGAGGAAGATTTGGCAGAAATAGAATTCAGCTTTTACAAAGTATTGCACCTCTTAGTTTCACTGCATTTTTTTTTTTACTCTTTCTTTTCTTTATCTTGCCTTAAGGTCATCCATGGTATTCTTTTACATGAGTAGCAGTGTAGTATGTGGCTAGTAAAGATTCAGTGCATCATAAAAATAAGAGTCAACACAAATATATATGCAGTACTACAATATTTGCGGTATTCAGTTTCATCAGATTTTCCGTGTGCTTTGATTAAATCCCCCAAAAAGTGGCCTGTTTCTACTTCAAGATGTTCTTAAAGGAATTTTAGCAGTGAAAATACAGTCATTCAACAGCATCTGTCTGCATGCTGAAAATGTCATCAATAATGCACAAGATCACGTCTTGAAGAACAGTAGGATTGGCATAAATTTTACTTAATAGAGCATCATATAAAAACTAGGCAGGGATACCTGAAGCGCTGACAGCATCCATTACATAAAGACGTATGTCTGTGGCTTGGAAGTGTTATGTAAGTTTTTGTTGTTGTTGTTGTTTTGTTTTGGTTTGGTTTGGTTTGGTTTTTTTTTAACATTCTGATTTCAATTGCACTGGGATTAATAATATCTTTCTCCTATTTTCAGAGGGTGATGAGACAGGAGTGATGGATAGTCTGCTTGAGGCCTTGCAGTCAGGAGCAGCATTCAGAGATCGCAGGAAACGAACACCAAGGGGACACGGTAAGATGATTTCTTAAAACTTTTAATTATGAACTGAGTGGAGAAAAGTTATTTTGCCAAGACTTAAAAATAATTTTCTCTGGAAACCACTGAGCTACTGTGAAAATTCAGTAGGAATTCATTCTTTTTGGTCATGGATTTTTAAATATAGCTTTATATTCAGGTAATTGGAGGCTCTGAAATATAACAAGGGTTCTTCTGTTTCAAGTGTAATTTAAAAACATGACTGCACAAAGCAAGTCTGTTTTAATCATTAAAACCATAAGTATAATCAGTTTATTGTAGGCAGTGATGAAAAATGTTAACTTCTTACACGAGGAAGAGTTTGGTATAAGAATATAGCTGGTCATCATTTTTAAGCACAAGTCTTAAATATGTTCTTGTTTGGTTGGAAGATGTACTCTGTGTAGCTGTGAAAGTTGATTTACAATAAAAATCATCTACTTTTTTGAAGAAGACAATAGTATTTTACAGGTGTAGTCTGAACAAGTAGTGCTTCCTGCAAGTTAGGTCATGAGGAAATTTGAGAAAGAGCTAAGCAGTTGCAGTGTTTTCTCTTTTCCATTCTTCTCCCCTTACAAGTATGCCTGTTGCATACAGTTTGTAAATAGCATTTACTATATATTTACCTTTTATTAAAGCTCACGGTATGCTCTATTTTCCAATTTTTTATTTAAAATATATTTTACATTTTTAAAAAGAAACACACCAAAAAAAAAAAGAAGCAGGCTTTAACCTAAAACCTACTTAGACTAGATTCTCCAGGTTTTTACATGGGTGACGCCCTTAAGCATGAAGGGAATGAAGAGGGTCTGAAAATACCTCACAATTAATAAGTGTATGAACATAAAGACAAAAAAATAAGGAATTGCATACATTTGAGTAATTTTCATATTGTTTTCTCCTGTGTTATTGTGGTTATTACCTTTCACTGGAGATAGTATTGAAAACTGATTAGTTTCTTTCAAATTGATTCTTAGATCTTGGTACTTAAGAGATTCTTGACACATTGACATAGTGAGGTTACGTAATACTTGGAAAAAAAGGTGTGAGGTTTCCAAAAAATATATATATTTTTTCAGTAAAGTACTTATGAATCCTTGGTAAATTAGACAAGTGTGTTGTGAACTTTAGACTTTGTGTGTGTGTTTTATATTGCTTTGTATAATTGTGAATTGTTAGTTGCCATTTTAATTCGTTTTTTCTAAAACAAGACCTTTATCTGAATAAACAGAAAGTGATACGCATTCTAAACATGTCCTTCAAAAAGGTGCTATTTAATTGTTAACTCGTTACATCTGAGTTTATGTAATTCACCTAAAGCATTTAATAACTTACGCAATGTAATGTGCTAGGTAATGCACACAAGTGTCATTGTGTTAAGTAATAACTTATACAAGGTAATGCTAAATAATGTGCCACTTGCTTTTATTGGTGTAAGTGCTTCTAAATCCATTTCAGTGTAGTATGTAAAGTATGCTTTGTTAGTTTTTCTGGAAAAGCATTACATAAAATTTTACACTGAACGTAAACGTATCAGAACACTCTTTCAAGCTTTTCAACACATCTTTTTTTTTTTTTAAATTAACACTGGCATTACTGCAGTCATCAAATTCTTCTGAGATCCAGAAATATAAGGCTGTACATATATGAAATTTCAAGCATAGCAGAATGTCTGTTTGCTTTTGCACTAAAAATGCATTGCTTGTTAATGATTATGGAAATACTGAAGATTATGCTGCAGCCCCATGACATCTGTAAGTTGCATCATATAACATCTGAGTTTATGTAAGTGAGATGCAGGGCTGTGCCCGATGCTTCAGATGTTGAAATTGTTTCTTTAAAGTTGTTTTTGCCTTTCATCATAGGTACCTGAAACAGCTGTAGAGTATATCTTATGGAGTATTTTTTTCTGAGAGCTGACTTGACACAGTTTTTTCTGAATCTCTTAGAAGCTTTGTTTAGGATTCCAAAACCTTTTGGATGTCTTACATGTTGGAATAGACCTTTAGAACTAAAAGTTTTTATGAGAACCAGAAGAAGTGTTCATAGTGACTAGCTTCTCAAAAAAAAAAAGTCATCAAGAATGAGAATGCCAAGGTCATGTGGTTAGAATTTTATATAAGTTTGTAGGAGCTTTGTATAAGTTACTCACATTTAGGAATATTGATTTATTTTTAATTCACACTCTTCCATTTTAATAGGTATGTCTTGCTAGATGTTAAGGCTTAAATTTCTTGAGATTGGTGGCTGAATTTTGGCCACATCTCTGTGTGGTACCTGAAATTAGAGAAACCACTTTTACACACTTAAAAAGGATGTTTGTGTACTCATTTACCAACTACTTGAGTACTAATGAATAGCATGCAAAGCTAGCAGTCCACACTAGAGAAAGAAGGCCAGATGGACTTCCTGGAAGTGTTGGGAAAGGTCAGCCAAGAGAAAGGGATGGGGATTAATCTCAAGATATGAGATTAAATAAGGATAGTGCGGGGTATTACTCTGTGTTCACTGTATCTATCTGAAAATCGAAAAGCTCTTTACGGCAGTGGACACTACTCTCCTTCCTTCATTTAACAGACAAGTAAATGAATGATGCATTTCTTAAGTCTTTCTAAACTAGCATACACCAGCGTTAGTGCTGAAAGAGGCAATCTTGCTCTGGCAAAAAAGATTATTTTTTTTTTTTAAGCTTGTAACAAAAGGTATACCTGACTTTCATTTTGTGACTAGCCTAAGCAAAGGGACTTCATGGAAGGCAGTAATACCATTGATTTTAGAACTCCAACCAATGTAGTTAGGAAAGAACTTCTGTATCAGGTGTGGTAACATACTTTGAAATCATACTGGTATTCAAAGTTTTGCACATGAAAAAAATTGTCACTAAAATAAAGTTCCTACCTGTTTGGAATTCTAGAATTTTGTGATTCTTTCAATTTCAGTTGATCAAGAAGTAATGGTAATACTGGAATATTTTGACTCTCTAAAGGGTCTGTTTTTTATGCAACAATCCGTGCATAATTCCAGAGCCGTTTGCAGGCATAAACAGCCTGAACATCAAGCTAGTCTGAAGCCAAACAACTACTAGCCAGTTTTTTAAATGGTCTTTAGGTTTGTCTAAGGAAGTGCTGATCCCAGCCCAGCAAAGGTCTTGAGTGGCTATGAACTACTGCACTAGTGCATAAACTATGCTGGCTTCTAAGTCACCTGCAGTGTAGTAAAGCCAAGTCCATTTGTCTACAGAAGACCCAATATGTATTTTCAGTAGTGGAGGTACTAAAAAGATTTATTTATTGCGTCAATAAAATAACTTTAAAAAGTGTTAGGTAATATCATTTTTTATTGATGTTTTAGGAATACTGAAATGATATTTGTATGTGAGATACGCTGGGGCTTGACATGGAATGATGCTTTATGAGTATAGTGGAATTAGAAAAATGTTTCTGCATTATTCCTAGTTTAATGCATTTTTGCATGCAGAAATACCTGGAAAGAAAATTAGAAACATTCAAACGAGATAGAACTGTGTATTTCTCATGTGTCTAGGGAAACACATAAACTATTGTCATGTGTTTGGGGAAAGCACAGCATTGCTTTGAATTTGGAAAAGGGTTATATGTAACATGTAACATTTCTTAAGCGTGACACAAATTTTTGTCAACACAGTGTTTAAAGGGGAAAAAGAAGCATATAAGAAATCTAGTAAGAAGTCTAGTTACTATGTCTTAGAGATATAAATAAGATTTTTTTAAAATCTGTTCTATTTCTTTCTATGCTAAAACTACTATTATTAGATGAGTGCTACCAAAAACCATACCCTGATATTTGAAGCTTATTATATATGAATGATTCTTTTTTCTTTTATTTTTTTTTTTTGGTATATATTTTGTAATATTGTCTAGGTATGAATTTCATAATGTTCATGGTTTTAAGAATTGTGGAGAAGATAATTTTAGGAGGATTTTTTGCCTAATAGCATATTATTTCTGGTTCTGTGCCATGATTTTTTTTTTTGTATCTTTCTCCAAAAGGTCTTTGGCCATTCATTCATATTATGTTGGGCTTAAATGAATACAGGTCTGACTGCATGGCAGTAGACTTTCTCAGACTACATTTTGTAGTTTGTGCTCCAGGAAAGTTTGAATTTCAAGGAGCATGCCGTGTCCTGGTCAATCAAAATCTTTAATGCATCTTTATGTCACTATCCCCATTACAGCTCTGAAACATTGGCACAGGTGCTTCCATTAATGGTTGCACATTATGGCCTCAATGTAATGTAGCTGAACTGCTAAGTTTGTAATATACATAGCTCAGGAATTGCTCTCACATCCTAAAAACCATCAGTGCTAATTAATCACTGAATGTAATACTAGATCATTTCAGATTAAATACTCTAATATTTTAAAGGCTGCTACAAGTAGGGTGAAGTTACTTTTAATGATGAATAAAAGCAGGTCTGAACTTTATAATATAGGTTAATAATAATTGTAGTGGTGATACGTTTTGAGGAACTCTTAATTCCAAAACCTAGAATGATTGATCTATATCCTGTATAAACTAGACACCAACATCCAAAGAGTTGGTTTTGTTTAGTCCGTTTCAAAACATACTGCAGGAGTTATGATTAGATATGATTGGTTTCATTAGTTTCAGTAGAAGATCACTTCATTATATATATACTCCTTATTTCTTTTTTGGAGGCCAGTGTAGGCTGTAAGATTCCGTGAGCATGTTATAACTAATATGTGAATTAGTTTATCCTCTTTTACCCTTTCATGGAAGTATATAACATCATAATATTGCTATTTAAAAGCCATGTGCATACAGTACAGTGCGTTCCACATGGATGTCTAAAAATAAACAAGATAGTGGTGCTATTCAGATCAGAGCTCTGTTCTTTTTGCTTTTCATTTTTTGTGTTATTTCTGTATTTTTGTACATTTTCTGTTAACGCGTTAGGTGTTTCTTCTGTTGTTGAAGATTATTTTGTTTAATATGTC